CACCCCCCCACCCCCGGGCTTTAGCCAAGCCAGCTTGGATGACACTGCCCATTTCTTCCTCAATCTCCCTTTTCCTTTGATGCTTCTGCAGCCCCTCTCCTGGGCAGGGCTGGGAGGCACATCTCAGTGACTTCTCTGAGATATAGTGGGTCTCTCTGGTGAATTCCTGAGTCACCTCCTCCAGGAGCCCTCGACTTCCCTCAATCCCATTCAGTCTCCTGTCCTCAGCCCCGGGGGCGCTCACCCTGGCTCCCTTTCCCGTCCTCTCCCCGCAGGTTACTGCAACCTGAACTTTGACCCCACCACGGCCAGCGAGGAGCTGTTCCTGTTCAAGGAGACCCACTCGGTGCTGAACCTGAGCATCCTGCTGGAGCCCTTCGCCACGGGCGGCTCCTTCCCGGGCTGCAAGCAGTGGTCGCAGGTGCTGTGCTCCCGCGCCCTGTCCGAGGGCCGCCACTACTGGGAGGCCGACGTGTCCAACTCGTGGGTGTGCTTGGGCCTCACCTACCGCCGCAGCCCCCCGCCCGGCGGCCGCTCGCGCCGCAACGTCGTCTATCTGCTGGGCCGCAACCCCTACTCGTGGTGCCTGGAGTGGGACTCGCTCAAGCTCTCCGTGTGGCACAACAACACGCAGACGGTGCTGCACGGCGGTTACCACCGCACGCTCGGCGTGGCGCTCGACTGCGGCGCCGGCTGCCTCTCCTTCTACTGCGTGGCGGGCGGCGTGAGCCTGCTCTACCGCTTCCTCGTCTCCTTCCTGGAGCCGCTCTACCCAGCGGTCATGGTCAGCAGCGGCGCCTCGGTCACGCTCAAGCAGCACGCGGAGGCGGAGGCGGAGGCGGGGGCGGAGGCGGGGGCGGGGGCGGAGGCGTTAGGCAGCGGTCAATAAAGCTGGACTCCAGCACTGGCTGGGCCCGCGGGGAGGGGCGCCGGGGGCGGGTGCCGCCGGGGGTCCCCGCCCCGGGTTGGAGGGGTGGGGTGGGCGGCCCGCCGGCCTCCCGACCCGCGGCCCCGGACGTCCCGGGAATCCCAGGAAACTGGCAGACCCCCTCCGTTCCCGCAGCCCCAGGAGAAGGGCTCTGAGACAGGCTGGAGTTCCCCCGGGACTGGGGGCAGTCCGGTGGCCTCCGGAGGGCAGATTCCTGACCCGGGTGCACAGGGTCCCCCACCGTGGCGACCACCCTCCTAAGCCCCATAGAGGCCCCTGGCCTTGGTTCTCCAGGCTGGTCCCGGCACCGGGGGCCCAGGGAAGTGTTCCCGAAGGCCCTGTGGCCTGAATGGGCGGGGCTTGGAGCAGACGGCTTCTCTCCGCCCCTCCCCCGCAGGTGACCCGGCTGAGAGTGGCACCTAACCGATGGTTTGGGGGGGTTCTGTCCCAGTTGCTTAACTGGGGCTGGGAGGTTAAGGCGAGGAACCCAGGCTGATCTCAGGCCCAAAGAAAGGCTGAGGGCTTACTGACCAGAGCAAAGCGTCTCATACACCTGCTGTTTCAACCTCTGCAGCAGATGTGAAACTGAAGCTGTCCACTCTCCACCCTCTTCTGTGTGGCTGGAAGCTGTTTGCCCCAGCCATCGGCCCACTCCCCTCCACTCTCCTAACATGTCGCATTGCCCAAAAGCAAAGGGGCTTCTTCCCCATCCCGGCCTCTGCCATCCCACCTGCCCGGTCAGCGTGTGCGGAAGTCGGCCTGCGAGGCTGGATCCCGGCCAGGTTCCTGCCTCGCCACCGCAGGAGCGTGCCTGGGGGACTCGGGCCCTCTGGGGAAGCCACCTCAGCATTTCCAGCCTCAACCAGCCGCTTGTTCTTACGGTCTCTCTTGCGGAAGCTCTCAGGTTAATGATCGACTCTGAAGAGGAAATGCTACAAGTCCTAGGAGAAAAGCCCTCGGGCAGTGCGGCCCAGATCCAGGCCAAACAGCGCCCGGCCCCACGGGTGTGCCTGAATTCCATCCCCGCCTGGCCTGTTGGAAGAGAAATTAGTGACCCTAGTTTCCCATCAGGAGAGGTCATTTTAGGGCCAGGACGGGGCCAGACGGGAATCAGGTGTAGGGGGTACTCTCAAGGTCTCTGAGGGTGGGGCACCCTCAAGCAAACTGTGGCTGTGATTTCTTGCTGACCTTCCTTTCTGGAGTCTTCACTCTTGTTCCCCATGAGCTGTTCCCCATGCTGATAGGTAGGAATGAAATGTAAACTTTTCCCAGTGTTCAGGAGAGGTCTTTCACACCCAAATGCCTACATCTTGGCTCCCCACCCCCAACCCCTGCAATCTTCATTCTTCCTGGGATGAGGTCAAGAAGTGCTGAGGAGGCAAGGGTGGGGTACAAGGAGGCAGTAGGGGCCTGCTCTGACTAGCTGAATAGATCTCCAAGTCTTTGCCCATCTCCTTGCAAGGAGGCCGCTACCCTTGCCAGCTCTTCATGGGGTGCTGTGTGATGCTGGAAACCATCCTGACACCTTCGGGCACTTGTTGGTGTGAAATCCACATCTGAACTAATAGGGGTATTTGCTTTCCTAAACAGCGCTTCCTTTGCAGTTCCTAGGCCACTAGGAATTCACAATGATAGTCCTGGGGGTCTTCAAATGCTTTTTATTTCACAAAACCAAATGGCAAGCAGGCCTGCACATCAGGGAGGCTAGCCAGCAAACCAAAATGTCAGCATTTTCTGCTCATGGCTCAGCATGTGCCTCATGGCAGAAATATGCTAGAGGGGTCCTCCCCGGTGCAAGATCAGCCAGTGCTCTTGGGTAATCCGTGTCTATGAACCCTACCCTTTCCCTTTCCCCCACTGCAGAGACACCAGGGAAGGGACTGTCCCTAGAACGCCACCCACACACTTCTCATGCCTTCCTGCTCCCGCCTTAGCACTCAAATATTTTTTTATTGTGAATCTGAATAAGCTGGAAACTAGTCTGTCTCCAAGGATTATTTCACTTTAAAAATGTCCGTGTGGTGGCGCCTGGGTGGCTCAGTCGTTAGGCATCTGCCTGCGGCTCGGGTTGTGGCCCCAGGGTCCTGGGATCAAGCCCCACATCAGGCTCCCTGTTCAGCGGGAAGCCTGCTTCTCCCTCTCCTACTCGCCCTGCTTGTGTTCCCTCTCTCGCTGTGTCTTTCTCTGTCAAATAAAATACTTAAAAAAAAGAAAACTTACAACAATACTGTATACTTTCAAAATGCAAAAAAAAAGTTATTCAAAATGCAAAAATGACTTGTTCACTGGCTACACAACATTATATTCTACAAATCTACATTCTATAAATTCTACAAGTCCTATAGCTTTGGTGTATGTTTTGTTTGTTTGTTTGTTCGTTTAATCTCTACACCCAACGTGGGGCTCAAACTCACGACCCCAGCATCAAGACTCAGCATGCTCTTCCGACTGAGCCAGCCAGGAACCCCTCCTATGGCTTTGTTTTGTCTTTAATTCCTTCCTTGATTCCCACTGGAGGTGGGTGGAAAGTGGCAACCCAGCTAAAGCCAGGTATTGCTTCCTCCATGTTACTCCCAAGTTTGACCCAAACTCAGAAGGGTCAAGGTAGGGGCCAAAGGATGCTGGCAACAGCCATGATTTCCACCCATCTCATCATGCCGTCCCACAGTGCGGGGAGAACAGAAGCAGGACCAGGTGGCAGGAACCTAGGGAAGAAGCCTGAACCCTGCCCTCTCGCACGGGTTGGTGTGCTCAGGCTGGGGAGAGAAGGGAGAGGATGTTTGTGGGAGCCTCGGGCAGAGTATGCCTGGCCTATGGTGGGTACCCAATGGCTGTCAGGAACATCCCACTCAAGAGAGCATAAGCTCAACTCCGCACCTTTCCTATGAGGAAGGCCCCTGGTGGTATGTGGACCAAGTCCCTCCAGCTAAGGAGAGGTGGGCTGTCTCCAGCCTGCCCTGTTGGTTCAGTCCCACCCCGACTCCAACCCCCAGCTCCTTGCCACAAACATCAGTCTCTTGTAGCTGTCATGGGTTTCATTACCAGACCTTATACCATCCTACCCTCTGAAGGGTCTTCCCTCCTGGCCTTTGCTCATGCTGTCCCCACTGCCTGGAGCACTCTTCCACTCTCTCCACCTTAAGTCCTACTCATCACTTGTCATGTACTCCCATGCGGTCCTTAAGACAGCTAAGATGCTGTGTTCCAAGAAGCCAGTCTTGAACCCCCCTCTCCCTAAGCCAAGTGGGGTCCCCTCCTCTCTGCTCTCATAACACTCTCTGCATGCATCCCGCCTAGCATCCACTTGTTTCATGTGAGAATTCTCCATCAGATGTAGGGGCAGGCTGGATATTTCATGTCTCCAGTGCTTAATGCATGCCTGCCAGAGAGCAGGTCCTTAATAAACGTTGACCCGAGGACTGAAGAAACCTTTCCAGAGGTTGGGTCAGGTCAGGCTGGGTGTGAGTGGCCTGGCACAGCTGCCCAACGACTTCCTTCTCCTCCCTTTGCCATCCTTTTCCTAAGTTAAGTCTGCACATGCCCTGCATCCAGGTGGGAGCAAAGGACCTTCTTATTCCTCCATTTGCTTCCACTTTCAACCTCCCCTTTAGTGTGAAGATTCTTTGAGGCTGAGGATCCTCCAGCAGGTGTGTGAAGGGAGAAACACATACCTCTCTCAGCCTCTGTTTCCTGATCTGTAAAATGGCATGGACAGGGATACTGTTCATATTTGTTAAAGATTCTGTGACTCCCAGTGCTTCTCAAACCAGGCAGCTGGGAAACATGCATTTGGGGCAGGGCCAGGACTACGGTGAAGCAAGTGAGGCATTCACCTCAGGCACAAAATTGAAGAAAGGGCTCCAAGGGGCACCTGAGTGGCTCAGTCAGTTAACTGCCTGCCTTTGGCTTAGGTCATGATCCTGTAGTCCTAGGATCGAGTCCCACATTGGGCTCTCTGCTCCCTGCTCAGCGGGGAGTCTACTTCTCCCTCTCCCTCTACTCCTTCCTCTGTTCATGCTCTCTCTCTCTCACCCTCTCTCTC